GCAGAAAATTAGCGTAGTGGCTGCGCAGGGAGGTGACACCGGCCTGCGCCGGCACAGCAGCAGCAGGCTGGTGGAGTGGTCGCTGAAGCCATACAGCTTCAGCACACACACCTGGTGCTGGAGGATATGACCGGCACGCACACGTGCTTGTACACACGTGTGTACAAGCCGGGACCAAAGAGCCAAAGCTAAACCCCCGTAAGCACAACTAGGTAAGTACATGTGAGGCTAGATGATATGCAACCCGTCCTTTTAAAAATAACGTCACTTTTCGCTCGTATGCGCGCTATATTAAGAGGACAGGTTGGTGGACATACGCACACACACACACGTGAGCGTCACAAACATACATGCACTTATACATAGTGCTGGGTGGGTGGTGGCTGAATGGACAGCGCTCTAGATTCGTGGACCTAGGGACCGGGGTTCGATCCCCAGGCAGCGCCGGAAAAACAAATGGGCAGAGTTTCCTTCACCCTGGTGCCCCTGTTACCTAGCATAACAAGTACCAATCAATCAACTGTTACCTAACTGCATAATACTTAGTAGTTAGTAACCGTTGATTGATTGACAGTTGAGAGGCGGGCCGAAAGAGCAGAGCTCAACCCCCGCAAGCACAACTAGGTGAATACATAATACACCAATGCACACTTAGATAAATACACTTAGATACACATACACTTACATAAAGGAGCCTTCTGAATACTATTTTCAATATATGTAAGACCTACTCTAGAGTATGCAGCTCTGGCATGGAGTTACAACCTCGAAAAAAATAGAAATTTCGCAAATATATACAAGAAAGATCGTTACTGACTTCCTAGAAAATACTGAGACACAGACCTCACCACACGAGACAAGAAATGGAGGGACATGATAACGGCATTAAAATTCTACAGTAAATTCCTAAAGTAGTAAAAAAAACATGAAATGATCAAAGCTTGTAACTTTTTGAAGTATGAGTTGAAAACAAGACGAATAGGTTAAATGAAAAAAAAAAACAGTAGTTGAAGTAAAATAGCTAATTTTAGTTTTCAAACTAAATGTTAGAAAAATTATAATCAGCAAACGTAGATATGATTAGAGAACATAGTTATTGTAGTGGCTTACAATAGATTTGAAAGGTGGGGCGTGCGTGCATACTTATGCAAGTACACTTTAGTGAATACACACACTATATTTTTTCTGATGTTAATGCTGCACTTAGCTGAATGAAAACCTTTTTTTTTTTTTTTTTTGCAAATATTTTTTGTCTCTTCAAATGTTTAATTTTTAATCTTTATATTCAACTCCTGATTAATATTATGGACACCCTTAATAGATCTGCACGAGGCCATTCGAGCCAGTTTGCTGGCTATGGTAGTCTAGTTACTTGAAGAATATTGTCAAGATTTGATTGCTGATTACGTCTAGTCAAAATGTGTTCTTTTTGCAATCTTACAAGAATGTAAGAACTCTTGCAAATAGAAAAATAGATAAATGTAACATTTTTCAGATTTCATACGTATATGTACTTTCTTATTATAATGCCTGGCATGATACATTCTGTCATTGTGTTTAGTACAAAAATACTCAAGAAGCATAGGCTATACGAACGGGGCTCACAGTTAATAATAGTTTTTCACAAGTTTTCTTAAGTGTTTATATAATAAAAACGACCACACTTAGGTTATTGTGACAAGCATTAACTAGATATGTTGACACGTCAAGCACCTTGCAAGTCATTCTTTGAGATACTGACTGCAGCTTTGAAATATCCCTTGGGTTATTATTTGCTTCAGGTTGCGTAGGCTTATATATCAAGGTTATTACAATATATTTGTCGTATTAATCTCAGATTTATCAGACATAAAGTATATTTATGTCACTCTATAACTACTTAAGAAGTTTCCTGGTTTATTTGTTTCTCCCGCATATGACGTATCACTTCTAGAATACGCACAAGTATATTCTAGAGAATATTATTTAACAAACCAAAACCAATTATCAGCAGTCTACATCTTATCAATAATTTTAACTATAGAGATAACAGTAAGGCATAATAACATAACATAACATAATAATAATCATATAACATGTGAAGCACTCTACTTACGAACCAATAGGTCCATTGCACCTGGGGGGTAGAAATAGCCTAAGCTACTCTATCCCTTTGAGATGTATTTCTTGCTTATCTCAATAAACATACTTGAAGGTCCATTGCACCTTACGAATCCCACTATGTTTCCACGATGGCTGTGGCACTATGTTGGATGTTTCGTCGTGTTCCCAAAAATGCAGAGTGATTATTCATTTAGTATTAGTTTGCTGGATTCGTGTGATGGGTAATGCCTCGCCAATGTCCAATCTTCTGCTGTTCCTGTATCTGTCGATTATTTAGGTGTTTATCAGGATATCTCTGGTAATGATCTGGTTATGTGTAGAGACTATACGTTTCTTGATTGGGCCTGCTGTTTGTGAATTATTAAGCCTTGAAAAGGATGTTGCTGTCTTGCCTATATATTGAAATCGTTGGGCTTACAGTCCCCAAGTAGGCTTGTGAATGCACAGATGATATTTGTTTCTTTCAAAGGGTTTTGTTTGGTGTCAGGAGAGGTAAGGTATAATAATTATCAAGAGAAAACGCCAAGCCAATACGATTATATAACACTTGGAAGGAATATGAGGATATGTCAGAACAGTTTTTAATGAGCAAATTGCCAGTTTTCTTTCTCTTATAGTATAGTGTTAATTCAGTATTCTGGTTGGCGTCAGTAGGGGTCACATTTCTAGCAATAATGTTTTTCAGGACTCTCCCGCTTTGTGGGCCTTGGAGAAGTTCCTATTGAATGTTTTAACAGTAGGGACCGGTAGTGTGCTGTTGTCGTTTCGTCTGAGGTTGCATGGCGGCTCACCTTCCTATTAATGATCTTTTAGACATATCCGTTACTGCCTTACTCTACAGAGTTCCTCGTCAACCTACCTCTTACTGCAGCTGTGTGAGCGAACATAGTACTTACATTCCAGTTGCATGTTTGCAACAATGAAGTATACGTTTGGAAATGGTAAAAGAAACACATGGTTTAGATTTTTGTATTTTATATTTATATATATTAATGAAGAATAATATTAGTGGGTTATTTGGTGTGACCCATAACTGGTGAGTGGCGGGGCGAAGGCTCAGTTCGAGGATCTCTACACACGAGGAATAATTACACAGGAATGAGAACTCTCGAGTGCCACAAACACACATATACACACATTCCGACAGCAGCCTTGGCCACAGCTCAATGCTCCCAGCAATGAAGGGGGTGTAGGGGGGTCTGGACATTGAGGTACCTGTGAAGTACAGTGAGGTACTTAGGCGGGACATTGAGGAACCTGGTTTTGACCCTGAAGTGCTTAGGAAGGACACTGAGGACCTTGAGATAGACAATGAGGTACTTGAAAGGTACATTGAGTTACCTGCACTGAAATATTGAAAAGGGCAGGTAAGAAGCTGAATTAGACTAGGCTGGGCCAAGACCGAGGCAGTGCAGCAAGGAACTCCCCAAACATGAATGTCAGGATGAAGAACCTTTCAGAAATTTATATCCAGGGTTTGCACTGGACACAAGAGTGAGTTCCGCCAGAAAAACTCGAAGAGACAGCCTTCTAGAGCAGTGTACGCTGTTAAACAGGTCCCATTTCTTCTCTACAGAATCAACTTTTTTTTTAAAACACCAGCTCCCATTTTCTACACATGTTTAGTAGAGGATGACTAGGTAAAGCAGAGACATGATTGGACAACATATTTCGGTTCATATTTTAGTACCACTGCAAGCGACAGCCCTAAGTTGATTTTATATTATTGTACAACACCTCGCTGACTTGACAAAATAAGTACGATGATGATTTATAAAATAAAAAAATTGGTGCAAATCTACGACGGGTTACGTGAAAAAACTTATTAATCAATAAAGTAAAGCTTCGTGTGGCGTGGGTTAGCGCCCTGCGTGGGGCGCCATACACGTGGCTCGCTGACCCCAGGGTGTGGCTCGCTGACCCCCCAGGGTGTGGCTAGCTGACCCCCCAGGGTGTGGCTAGCTGACCCCCCAGGGTGTGGCTCGCTGACCCCCCAGGGTGTGGCTAGCTGACCCCCCAGGGTGTGGCTAGCTGACCCCCCAGGGTGTGGCTCGCTGACCCCCCAGGGTGTGGCTCGCTGACCCCCCAGGGTGTGGCTCGCTGACCCCCCAGGGTGTGGCTCGCTGACCCCCCAGGGTGTGGCTCGCTGACCCCCAGGGTGTGGCTCGCTGACCCCCCAGGGTGTGGCTCGCTGACCCCCCCCCCCCACCCCAGGGGGTGGTCAAATCGTTTTTTGTTCGGGGGGGGGGGGGATAGGGACCAGAGGCTCGTCAGTGTTCAATCAGTTCAACATCATATGTAACACTGGAAACATTATTTCACTTTTATAATACTAGTTGTTCACATGAAATCTGGGAGCTTTGAATCACAGCATTTTTTACAAAGCCTATTTTTTCATATAATATATATATATATATATATATATATATATATATATATATATATATATATATATATATATATATATATATATATATATATTTACGTGTACAGTAATACGAGTTAATATATCCAACATTTGTTGTATAAATAATGCTATGACTCGAAGCCTCTTAAAAAGTTTCATACAAACATCCTGTATTATTGTATTGTCTCGGGGTTTCAGTGTACACAGAATGTGGCTAATTTCGGACTGTTTTCGTAAGTAAATGTATTATTTTTATTATTAAATGTATTTATGTAATAAAGTTCATTTTCCAGATAATTAAAAGTGTACCGTGTATAATTAAATGTTTGACTGAACCGAAGAAAATTATCTTGATCACTGTTGGTAATCGGATTGATCACTGTTGGTAATCTGGTTAATCACCGTTGATAATCTGGTTGATCACGGCGATCGGTGTGTTCTTTCCTTC